TGGGATGGGATGGATGGGATGGGATGGGATGGATGGGATGGATGGATGGATGGGATGGGATGGGATGGGATGGATGGATGGGATGGGATGGGATGGGATGGGATGGGATGGGTGGATGGATGGATGGAATGGCATGGGATGGGATGGATGGATGGGTGGAATGGATGGGGTGGGATGGATGGGATGGGATGGATGAGATAGAGCACCCATGCATGTGAGGTCTCTGTACAGGTTTGATGGGGGATTTGGGGAGAGTCCAGGCACAGTGAGGTGGGTGGCGACAGGGACAGTGATCAGTGATCCTGTGTTTCTGAATTGGTGGCCGCTGGTGGCTGGGTGTTCACTGCACCGGGGTGGGTAGGAGGGCCTGGGGGTCACCATGGGGTGAAGGCCTTGCAAGAAGGTGATGCTGGTCCTAACAAGCCCCTCGCTGCCCTTGCAGGTCAGCTGGCCTTGCTGCAGGGCCTGCTGAAAATGGCTGAAGGCAAAATCATCTGTACGGTGAGGGAGGTCGAGTGCTGGCACAGGCTGCCCAGGGAGGTTGTGGGATCTACATCCCTGGAGATACTAAACACCTGAAAACAGGGTCTTGAGTGACCTACTCTGACTCTCCTTTGGGCAGCCTGGCTGGACCAGACCATCTCTGGAGGCACCTTAATGCCTCAATTGTCCTGTGGTGTATAACCACATGCCAATGAAAATACAGCAGAAAAGATGTAAAGGTGCGATGGATGTTATCAGGTTAGAGCAGATAGCACCTGACAGTCTGCAGAACCTGCTGAGGGAGCCTGGGCATGGCTGTTGGCTTCAGTGAGTGACGTTAGAGACACATGGCCAAGCTGTTGTGTGTTGGATAGTGCAGGCAGGCCAGTGGGACTTCTTGTGGGTTACAAACTGACCTGGCATAGATGCCACTGGGTGAAGGAGGAGCCACACCAGACAGTTTTAGACACCAGATGTAGGAATTTATGTGCAGAAGATCTCCTCCCAAGGTCCCCTGTACTGTCAGTGAAGTGTGTGTCCTCCAGGACATAGTGGGATGAGATGGTCTTTAGAAGAGCCTGGGCAATTTTAAGAAAGAATTCTTTGTTCTCATTCACACCACCGTATATCTAAAGCACTTTGGAAAATCTGGCCCTGGAGCACAACTGGAACCTGGGGAGAAGTTTTTCTTCTCCCTTGTTGGGTAAAGCATTCAGCAAGCATGGTGGTGCCATTCTTCATTCGGGTCTGCCTCAGTCTTTGTGCCATTCAGCCTTTTGAAACTTTGCTGGATGATTAAAGGTGGTTCATTCATATTTCTGATGACCCTCCTACTTTATAACGAGGATTAAAGATGGATATCACCTTGCTGCTGGTTGCTGTCTTCCTGATTTACCCCCTGACTCCTCATGTGACAGTGTAACAAACACTACCCTGTGATCTAGACTGAGCGTGTTTGGTGCATTTCAGCATCTGTCACTCTTACATTTAGAACAGTTACATTAAAAAATGCAAAAGCTTTTCTTCATCCCATTAAAACATTTATTTCCAGACAGGGAAGATCAGCATTTCAATCACAAATTTTAATTTAGGACTTTGGAGATCTGTGCTTATTTACTTAATTTGTGTATTATTTCCGTTCCAATTACAACACATTATAAGCAAGCTAATGGTTGTATCCTGTGTTGATAGTTTGTCACTATTAGTGAGGTGGTGGACTGTCTTGGTCATTAGAACAGATGGCATTGGCATGGATTTCACCCTGTAGTGCTACAGAAGAGCTGTAATTTAGAGGAAAATCTCTTTTTGGGCACTGTGAAGATTAACACATGCAAGAATTAGTGATGGGTTGTAGTTAAAGAGCTCTTGTCTTACTGCTAATGTCTGTCTCTGTCTCATGATCACGCTGGTACGGAAGATGTTTGCTGACCCTCAGGCTAGCACAGAACAGCCTAGTGCTGGAACAGGAAAGCAGAGGTCAGGCTGTGCTGGCTTTGGACCCGAGCGAGGATCCCTGTCTGACGCCGTCACTGCCATGGTGACGTGCAAAGATACTCCAGCCTATCTCAGGTAACACAATATGACTGCATCATGTTGGCATATCCTGAGGCATCAGCTGTTACCTGTCTGAAGCACACTTTGGAAGTTTCTCTCTGGCCTGCTGTGTCCAGGAGGTCTGGATGAGTTCAGGCACATGCACTTCTTCCCTTCAGGTAGCTGTGACTGGCAATACATGGGAACTGCTCCTCCAGGTCTGTGCCTCAGCCATGTCCTGACTGGTAAGTCTCCTTCCAGGAGCTAGTGTGCCATGGATGGGAAGCCTGTTCATACAGCCTAGAGATGAAAAATGCCCAGTCCAGTGACTTCCTGATCTCAACAGCAGGAGCATTAGGATTTGAGATGCATCCTGATTTACACAGTGAGTGAGTATGGACCAGCAATAGAAACCAAACAGCCCAATTCAAAGAGAAAATAGAGATCCTTAAGAAGCATGTTGACATATTCTTCACCTGGAGCCTTCCTAGCTAGCAGACCTCCCTTAGAAAATCAAGCAGGGCCCCATGCCTCTCATTCCTTCCTAAGCACCTTCTCAGCTTAATCCTTTTTTATAGGCTCCTGGGCTTTAAGCCATATAACAAAAACCACCCTGAAGGAGGACCAAGACCAGTTACAGGCCTCAGTACACTCTTACCTGGAGTTATTTTTCCATTTGATGTTTCCCTATACATAGTAACTTAAATAAAAATATTAAGAATGTCACATTCTAGTAGCAGTTCTGGTGAGCTGTGCAAAGTACAAACCCAAATATATGACAGCAACCTGTGCCTTTTAGAAATGGCTTTTGTTAGTATTTTCTTTCAGGAGATGCAATATTTTTAAATATCCACAATGATATTAAATGTGAATTTAATTAAATTTCAGAAAAATATTTAAAACTTTGAAAGATTAACTTATTAAGTGTAAAATTTATTAAAAAACAAGTGTCGAGTAAAGCAGCAAAGTAACATATAGATGGAATGCTATATGCAAATGTCTAGTTGCTGTATTATTTTTTCTGTCACACTGAGACAGTTACACATAGTGTTGAAGTACCTAGTGCCCAGTTATCTTGTTCCTGAGCTTTTCTGTATAATTTCTCTATTGCTGAGCATTAAGTATTTTGGATAGCAATAAAAATGTGGGTAAGTTTTACTTTCAAGTGTGCATCCATCTTCTCTGTGAATGCCCTCTGCCTAGCTTAGGCCTGCCTGTAATTACTTCAGCAATTCTCTCCTGCAAAGTGGGAAGTGAGTTGTGGTTTTGTAAATGTGTTTGTCACTTCTTTTTGATTCCTTCCACTTTGCCAATATTTTTATTTTGATGGCAAACAAGCTTCACATTGATTTAAACTTCAGTGTGACATGAGTGTCACTTAGACACTCAGACCATGTAATGAGCCCAATGCTGTCCATGCACAAGATTGTGCAGTTATTGCTGACCTTTCTGAATCTTGGAGCTGGAATACCCTTTGCACTGCAGAGCCCATTACCTTTTTTTAAAAAAAACTTTATTTTCTTTCCTCCCATCGATGAACCAAATGTTAAAATCTTCGCTTATTTTTTCTCCATTTCTGGGTGAGCTAAAAACAATTAGGAGCATAGCTAAAGTAAGGGTTATATAGAGAATACTTTGTGTTTATGTTTACAAATATGTAAGGGGTGAGTGTCAGGGGGACGGAGTTAGGCTTTTCTCAGTGATGACCAGTGATAGGACAAGGGGTAATGGGTGTAAATTGGAGCATAGGAGGCTC